CATGAGGGAAATAACATTTTGCACATTTCGATAAAAATAAACAATAGTGTTGACAGGCAGTAAAAAGCCCAGTTTCACTGTTTTGGGGAATGTAGATTGGTAAAGGTCTTTGGAGAATTTGGGAGTGATATTCACATACTTAAATATGCCCACCTTTGCCCTGAAAATTTCACTTCCTCCAGACATACTCAAACATGTCAGGGTCATTTGCAAAAGATATTTATAACAGCAGTGTTCAGAAGTGAAAAACTGGACACCATTAACTAGAGAGATAAACAAAGTATGACAATTTTCATGTAGAAGTAATACATAATCATTTAGCACAGGGAACTGTGACCCATGGGCCAAACCCGGCCTGTTTTTGCAATTAAAGCCTGTTGGGACACTGCCGTGCTCATGGGCCATGGACTGTCCATGGCTGCTTTTGTGCTATTAAATGGTAGAGTTCAGTAGTTGACCTCATGGCCTGCAAAATCTAAAACATTTACTATCTGACCTTTAAAGAAACTGCCTGACTTAGGAGAATTAGATCTATTTCAACTGATAGCTCTGAGACCTATCACGAAAAAACTCTAACTGAAGATGGAGATTCTCATAATTCCTATTCCGTGGAGTGTGATCTCCACTCTATAAGAACTCTGTCCATACGCCTGCATAAACGCAACCCCAACGAGTAGCTTTAACAGCAGTTACTTATTTGAAGCAGGAAGAACTGGAGAGGGGAGGGGTGATTTTGATGGGCCTATATCCATGTATTCCTTCAGTAGTTTTTAGTACAGGCCTCAGGAAGGGCACAGAAAACATGTGGCTCCACCCACATGGCCTTCTCTTTGCCTCCTAGCACCCCGTCCCTCTACTGACCCCTTGCCGAAGACTTGCTCTGCCCAGAAGGAAAGTGCCATTTGATTCCCGTTTCTACTGGTGCTGTGTCCTTTCAACAAGAAGGCTACAGACCAAGTGGTTTATTATCTGATGATTAATGAGCTTGCAAATTGTGCTATGTTAGCCCTATTATTTCCTGTTTTGAGAAATGTAGGACTTAAGTTACAGATACTGGTTTCATTTAATGTTTATCAAATAAACTAAAGATTTATAATGAAACCACAAGCTGAAAAATAAGTAGCCATAATAAGAATCATGGTAACTGACACTTCTTATTTTTGATATTTTAACAAAAGATGGAAAAATTAAGCTTCAAGAGTGAGGATTTGCCCGGCTGGCATGGCTCCAGGAGACCGTGGTTCGATTCCCGGTTGGGGCGCGGGTGTGGGTTGTGGGCTCCATCCCCAGCAGGGGGTGCCTAGGAGGCAGCCTGTCAATGACTCATTGATGTTTCTATCTCTCGCCCTCTCCTGCTCTCTGAAATCAACAAAAATATTTTTTTTTAAATGAGAATTTGACAGTGGTAAGTAGTCTTGGATCAGTCTTTCTTCCCCCCAAAAGTTTGATTTTGCACCTTGCTGACTATAAATTATTATCCTATATAGCACAAGAAACTGGAAACTTAACATTTTCAGGCTGAATCATATTTTCGGCAATTTCTGCTGCCTCTCCCCTGCTAAAACTAGTTTAGTCTTAACTTATAAAGAGGAAAGGTTATTGGTTGCAGTGCAGTCTACTAGCAAGAAGCCAAGTATTTAATCCTTGAATGAATAGTGTCTTTCTCTCTGGGCAAACCATCAATGTTTACTTATTACAACGCACTTGTTTAGCACAGCACAACTTACAATGGGCGTTTCCACACATTACCCTATCTGTTCACACTTCTAAGAGAGTCAAAGAGGAAATTCTGTGTTTCTTTAACATCTATCTCTTAGATGTTGAATAACTTGCCCAGGGGAACAATTGGCAACTGTCAGAGGTTCAAACCCTCCCTCTCAGAAACACCTAAGTATGTATTTTTAACAGTTCAAAGATGTCTCCTTTTCCTCTTTGTAATCACCTTTTCTCAAATGACATCAGAGCAGCATTATTTTCCCATGGGAAACAATGAGTGTTGTTTCAGATTTCTACTCATGTCTTTAAGAGCGAATAACCCTTTAAAGAATATTAGCTCGGCAGGGACACAGAGAACTGTCCGCACACTTCCTCACATCTAGGAGTGCAGCAGCTTCATTAACTAGTCTCTAAGACCAAAATATTCTGCCTATAAATTCTTCTAATTCTTACTTTATTCTACTTCCCCAAACACTTGAAAACAAGTTATGCTTTAAAATCATTACATAAAAGGAGAACACGCACACACACACACACACACACACACTATTATGAGAAAATCAAAGAAACTTAACCCATGGTATTACTATAAACATATAGGCATTGACTTAAAAAAAAACACAAAAAAAAACTGTAAGGTTTTTAGAATTATTGTTGAGACAACTGAAAACTCACCTTTTAAAGCAAATCTCAGCAAATAATTTGGGATGGGTATTTTCCTCACCACTCCCTCCCCACCCACTAAATACTCAAATGTATATTTAAAAAAATGGAAAGATAGCCCTCATGAGAAGTCCTTAGGATACTGTGTATAGTTAAGTAATTTGGGTAGCTAGAAAGATGGATAAGGACACATTACAAAAACTAAAATCAATTTGTCTTTAAGTAAGAAAACATTAAAAATTAGTGAGACCACTTAATATTAGAGGGCCACTGGCTTTGCTCCAGGAATAAAATGAAACATTGAAAAGTGCACTGCGTCTGAGTCACACGTTCATCCCACAGCCTGTAGGTAACCTTTTGATACCTTGAGCTGTCTAAACGTGTGACAGGATGGGAAAGGAAGGCGACAATCAGCAAAACCCTGAGCTTGGCTGGCTGAGCATACGACGGTCTGTGGCCTTGCCAGGCAGACTTTCTTACAAGTCTGTACTCTTAAAACTCAGGGCATAAGGCACTGCCGCCGGCCTCGATAGTATTTGTAGAATCATGAAAAGAAAAAGAAGAGTTAGAAAGCTGCGGTGGGCTCCTAGAAACAGAAGAGGTGAGCGGACTCACGATGAGAACCGTCTGCATAATCTACGGATGCGAGACCTAGAGCTCTGGGGTCAAAGGGAACGGGTTTGGCCCCCTCCCTGTTCTGTGCTTTCTCTGCCCCCTTCTCTCCGCCTCTCCCGCCCTGCACCTCCTTCCCCCTCCGCGGTGTCTCACTGGGGATTTCTCTGCCTTTCTTGCCCTCACACATCTTCCTCTCCCAAATTTAATAATTGAGGAAATGTGTATGAAAGCTTTTACAATTATATGATCTTGCCTGCAACTATATGCTTCTGGTTCTTAGAAGTTGCCTATTAGCCCAGCCGTTGTGGCTCAGCAGTTGAGCGTGGACCTAGGATCCAGGCGATCGGGGTTTGATTCCCGGTCAGGGCACATGCCCGGGTTGCGGGCTCCATCCCCAGTGGGGGACACGCAGGAGGCAGCTGATTAATGACTCTCATCATTGATGTTTCTCTATCCCTTCCTCTCTCTGAAATCAATACATATTTAAAAAAAGAAAAAGTTGCATCACAGTACAGCAAAATATTGTAGGCAATTAGGAAATCATTGTTGAGCCCCAGGTCTGCCACTACCTATTTTTGTCACCGTGGGAAAATACTTTTCAAAAGAAAAAGGTCTAAAATGTTCTATTACAAAATTTAGACATCTAGCTAACTGTATAATCAACTACAGCCGTAACAGTCTACAGTGTACAATTGGTGTTTTGTTTTTTTCACATATTAAAGAAGGTGCAAAATTAAAGCAGACAAGGTTACCCAAAACATTCACCTAGTTCAGTTGCTCAAATTTTTGTTTCTACTTTAAAGTTAATTTGTTCAAATCAGGAAAGGTAACATTTGCATTTATTTTAAGTGTTGTCTCTTTAATGTAAACCCCACCCCTTTCCTTGCAATCTGTTAAACAAAACCAAGTCATTTACCCTGTAAAACTGCCCACATTCTGGACTCGTTGACTGCACCCCATGGTGTCCTCTAACATGTCCCTTTGTGCTGTGCTTCTCCGTTAACGGATAGATCTGGGGGCTCGATGAGATTTTTCTGGCAGACGCTTCGCAGGCGGTGCCGGGCAGTCCTTTTCACTGAGTTGTGCTGGAAGGCACATCATCAAGACTGACCAGCAAATTCAGGTCTTCACAGCCTGATCCATTCATTTTCAATGAATAATATTTGCAGCCATTGATAATCATTATCTAGCTCTTGTCAATTAATTAGGACTTGTAAAACAGCAACATTTTAGCAACACCCCTTTCTGCATTAACTGGAACAATTCTACTATCCACAGATTCTCCTCCCTTCAAATACCCGATTACTTGGGTAAGGCAGGATAAATGCTTGTTTCTCTCCCAGTTACCAGTTTCCCAAACAATTCCTCAACATCCTTCCAAAGCTGACTAAATTGGTTTTATTTCTTATTGCTATTATCATTTTGAGTGCATAATTTACATATTTAGTATGTTAAAATCCACTTTTGTTATGTTATTGATCACCGAACACTCCTTGCATATGGCCAGTGGTTTAGAGCCCTTGCAGCTTGGTCTTGAGCTTTTAAGACACCACCAATGGTATCTACAGCTTTTCTGCTTTAGTAATGCCGAGGTGTTACCGTTAATTTTTTAGATGTGAAATAATACTGTGCTTTTGTTGGAGGAGAAAATGTCCAATGTGTAAAACACTCAAGTACTCAGATTTTCTCAGAATAAGCTGGAGGCAAGTAGGCTGAGGAACAGAAATAAGTGTGGCCTCATGTTTTAAAATTAGTATTAACCATAGTTACACTGCTGTTTTCTATAATAAAGTTTAATACCATTTTAGTAATAAAAGCTAAAAATGTCATGATTACAGAAAAAAAGAAGAAAACACAAAGACCTTAAGTCCAGCTCATGCCCTCACAGATGGTTTCTGAAAATTATATCACAGTACATGCAAGAGAAAAAAACAACATCTACACAACCTCACTTTCCACTCAAGAAATATTTGGATATGTGAAGTTAAGAGACAGCCAGACAAGTGTGTTTCTTAAAGTACTCTTTATTAAGAGCATTAAAGTTGCAGAAACAACTTTATAGTGTAAAGGCACAGGGAGACAGTTTTGATAAAATATTCAAATTAAACAGTAACTTACAGTACAAAAGACAACTTTAATGCACATACAAACCCCAAATGTCTGATTCAAAAATATTTTACTGCGTCTATTAATGGGCAATGATTAAAAATATAAATTGCTGCTGTATAATAAATATCTGATAGTGAATATCTTGATAGCAAAGTGAACAAAATATTTATTGCTTTTCACATACATCACTTTCCCTGTTAAATTCCTAACTCTTTTACTGTCTTCTCAACCTCTTCCAAGATAAAAGAAATTCCACATAATCTCACAGGGAAACTGCCTCAAGCAGGATCCCTGCTGGCAGCTGTCTTCTCACTTCCTACTCTGCAATCACAATCTCTTCCAAAAAGTAAGATAAGCGTTTGCTCAACCACAGAAAGACAACCCCTCTGTGACCGGCAGCCCACGTTGGTAATGAATACTTACCCAACATAAAAGGTGCTCAGTTTTGAAAGTGTGTATTTTGTTTGAAGTTTTGAGTAAGAGGCTTGAATGTCTGACAAGTAATTTTACCTGTTCCCCTCAAAAGTTTTCCAAAGTAGTCAAACGTCAGCACAGTAAACTTTCCAGCACTGAAACGTTTGAGGGCTAGTTGATACACGTAACACACTGATGTAGATGTAACAGCTAGCATACTGCAATCTATTTCACAATGCGGAGATCGTACCTTCTCCCGGTTCTAACCTGGGATTACCTTTATTAAGAACGTGCTGCTCTTTTTATAGCAACCTGGTTACAGACGGAACAAGTAGAATTTCCACCACAATAATAAAATAACATGAAAGCATCACCCTAATTTAATGAATGCTATTTCACTTAAGAAATGCCTACATTAAAGTATCTGATAATCACTGTAGTTACCTAGCCATGTCATGTTCAGACAGTGTGTAGCAGCTGGTAATACGCCTGGCACAGAGCAGATGCTCAATAAATAGTTGCTGAATGCATGAGAAACAGAAGGAAAACCTGGCTTTGGCTGTGCATATTTTAATCGCTTTCTGATTAAAAACCAGGTCAGTCTAGAATTAGATACTGCACACTACACCAAACTTTGCCATCTGAAAAAGTAACAACTTCAAACAGAAATAATATAAGATAGTGATCGTCAATATGTGTCCATTGTAATTTAAAAACAGCCCACAAATTTCACGTATTTTTACCCACATACTTAAACTTTGCTGTTTTGATGTTTAACAACTGGGTAATGAACACCAAGTTGGGCAGACTGGCGACAGTAAAAATTACTTGTCCATCAGTTAATGAAAAGTCACAATGCCTGATTAAACTCAAATGATGACAACCATGGTAAATTTTGCAAAACTGCTGATGAATAAAAGGTAGAATATCTTTAAGTTACCTATGCTGGGAGGCAGTACCTTAACTTTTAACATAAAAGAACAGCCAGGGAGATTTGAATTTAATGACAAAAAAGTACTGTAAGTGAGACAGTAAGAATGAGTGCGTGACCAATTTTAAACTCTAACCATGGGACTAGGTCTAATATTTCTTTGGCATATGCATTACTATCTTGCACTAGTTAGCATTTGAAAAATACTGGGTTATCTTTTTCTCTCAAAATTAACATCAAGGTGAAAACTGCTAACACTCTCTTCTCAAAGCCTTTAAAGGACAGAACGATATTTTTGCAACATAGGCCAACTTCATGTTTAGTGGACACTAATTACTGGCACAGAGTGATGTAATGTTAAATAACCTTAAATGACCTCATGCTGTGGTAAAACCACAGAAAACAGGAAGAAAAGTATTTACATAATAAAATATTCGACTTTCTGAAAAAACAGAGTAAACCTGGGAATCTGCCCTAACAGAGAATAGGTATGTGCTGCTCAGCACTGAATGAAAATCAGCTCAAGTTTAAATGAGCACCTACAGTAACCCGAATGTGTACCACAATGAAAAACACAAAAATGCAAAAACAAACAAAAAAACCCTACACATTGGAAGGAAAAAGTAGCCTATAAAACAGGCCAAATCGAACTTGACATTCAACGTAAATGTAAGAGATTCACAAAATCATGATAGTAATGCAAACAAGTCAAGTACCAAGTACCCTTTGATACACAAGCCAATGTAGCTATCAGATTCATTTCCAATAGCTTCACAATGTTCATTAGTGCACTCAGGCATTCAAGGGGCAAAGCAGTCACAGCGCACGATTCCAAAGTGTAGAACAAACTGATCTGCAGAAGAACCATATGGTTTTTTAAAGAAACGTCTTCTTTTGATGGATGTTCACATAAGATGTATCAGTACACGTTTACCTTCCTCTGACTGTACTACTTCCAGATTTCTTTTTTCTAGATAGCTTTTGGTGGCTGTGTCAGCCAGCGCTATTTAGGCGGAGGACAGGGAAGCTGCCCATCCACTACCTCACGTTGTTACTCAACTGTGCCAGGTACTCGCGCAGCTCTTTCGCGGCCTGGAATCTGCCGTAGCGCTTCTTCGGGTTGGCGCACTCGTCCAGCAAGGCCTCCAGCCGGCCGTCTTTGGCAATTTCCCCCGGCGGGTCATGAAGGAGTCCTCCAGAAGTACCACGCCAGGTGGCATGTCTGGACAAGAGGTTCTGACAAACAGCATAATAATTGTGGTCCACAGTGGCACGAGCACAAAGAATTTCTTTTGAAAAAGACAAGCAAGCCTCCTTATCACAGTCATCAAATTTGCTTTCATACCACACATCCCAATTTTCAGGTTTATCTGTAAAAGGAAGAAAAGCAGAGAGAGAAATACATTTTCAGAGTTTTTACTGCTTCCCAAAATATGACAATTCACTAATTAGCACAGTATTATTTGTTCTTAAAATTGTATTATAACTTTAAACATTTAAATATATTGATTATATACAAAGATTTAGTGGGAGCACACCAGTGCCAGGCAGAGGATCACACAAGGTCCCCACTACTGAAGCGCTCAGTCAGAGGGAACCTTCCACCTACCGGTCAGGGACAGGCGGGGGGATGGCACAGGAACACAGAGGAATCACTATCTGCCTGGGGCTGCAGAAGGCTGCAAAGGGAACACCTGACTTAGGCCTTAAAAGATAAGCAGGCCTAAAAGAAGATGAAAAACAGCATTCTAGGCCAAGGGTACAGTACCTGCAAGGCATGGACCTAAGGGATTGTCTAGCTAGCTCAGGACACAGTAAGTTCACTGTGGCTAGAGTGTGAGACAGGCACCCGGGGAGCAGGTACAGAAGAGGCTAGAAAAATACATTGTGCCTGTGTAGTCATGACCGTGATTTGTTTTACAAAAAGATAACTCTAGGCTGAAGACTGCAGGGACTAACATGATGACAGCAACTAAAGGAGGCCCAGAAAAAAAAAAAAGCCAGATTGTAGAAACATTTGAGACAAAAATTAACAGGTAAGTGTATGAGTAAATTTTAAGGGTCTAATTAGATGACAACATAGACACTATTAACATAACAGTGTTAATATCTGATATATAAATACTTAGTAAACATAAAGTGGCTATGATATATTCAGGTGGAAATGTAATAGATGCAACTAGAAACAGACTCCAAGCTTATGACTGATGTTAGACGGACAGAATGCATAAGCACAAAAACCTTGATGAGCCCAGAGAATGGCTCAACTGTACTGAAAAACATGTTGAAAGCAAAGGGAGGAAACGACTGAGGGCAGAACCTTAAAACTTCAGGGGGTTGGCAGAGGAGAGGTTAGTAAAAGGAACTCATTCATTCAGCAAGTAATTATTTGAATGCTTACTCTACGGCAGCCAAGGGTGTCTAATGACAAACAGAACAGATAATACACATGGTTCCTATCCTCACTGACTTACAATCAAGTGTCTGAAACAGAAACTGAGCAGGTAACTAAACATCTACCAAAAATAGTAGGAGATGCTAAGAAGGCAACAGGAGTTTCTGACAGTAGAAAGGTTTAAGAAAGAAACAACCTTCTCTGCTGTTGGGACAGAGGCGGAGTCTCCCTTAGAGTTAACATTTAAGCTAAGGCTTGAAGGACAAGTGCCTAGCAGTGTATGGAGGGCTGAGGCATTGTAGGCCAGAAAACTGCACAAGAAAACTTCCCAGAACTGGAAAGGTTCATTCAAGAAACCAAAGGCCACTCTGGCTGAGGCATCAAGGGCAACAATGGACAGAGGGGTATTAAACGTGAAGCAGAGCAGGGCCAAGTAATACAGATATGCGCTGGGAGCAGGGGAATTTTACTTGAAGAACAATGGGAAGTCATGAAAAGTATTAATCAAGGGAGTGATAAGACCAGATTTATGTTTTAAAAGAGGAGCTCTTTAAGTAGACGGAAACCAAAGGGAGCAAAGACTTTCAGGAAGGCGTCACCAATCGGTGACTTTAGGAACTGGCCAGTGAGGTGGCTGCTAAAGCAACGCGGACTTCTAAGTCAGGTGTTAGTGCTGCGGGATGAACGGACACCCAGGAAGCAAGCAGAGGCAGATTTTAAAAACAGCTGAAAAGCAACAAACTTGCTTATGAAACTGGATTTGGAGGAGGTGGGAAGTTAGAGGTGATGATGCAGCAGGTTCTCAAAGAAGCTGCTCTCCGGTGTCTGAAAAGGGGTGAGCACACGTTGCTTTTACTATTTAGAAGATAAAAGGAAGGACACCGAGGGAGATGCCGCCATCAAAACCCCCATTTCCCTGTGAAGGACAGAAAGAGAGTTCAGAAAAGAGGGTGAGTAAGTAGATCTGGTCTTTGCAACGTGGCTGTTTAGACCGCCCTACCAAGAGCCATTTGAAGAGAAGTGGGCAGAGCTAAGGAAGCAAGAATAGAGAAGCCATAGGGCTGTATTCATTCCAAGTCAGGAACTGGTATAAAATTGTAACATGTATTCCAGGAATGTCCACATCAAGAAAATTATTTAACTTTTTTTAACCCTGGCCAGTGTGGCTCAGTTGGTTGGAGCATCGCCCAATACACCAGAAGGTGATGGGTTCAATTCCCAGTCAGGGCACATGCCCAGGGTGTGGGTTGGTCCCCTGGTTGGGCCAAGTATGGGAGGCAGCTGATCGTTTCTTTCTCACATTGATGTTTCTCTCTCTCTCTACCCCCCTCTTTCCCTTAAATCAATTTTAAACAATTTTTTTTTACAAGCATTGGAATGAATATTTTAAAAGTTTAAGCAAGTTGCACAACTCTGTGAACATATTAAAAACCACTGACTTGGGCACTTAAAGAAGGAAAAGTATGGCTGCCACATCCGCTCACGCAGTAAGAGGCAGGTGGGGGTGAGGCCTCCAGCAGGCAGGGCAGTCAGGACACAACCAGAAAGTAGTGTGGTGAGTGTGGAGTAGAACAAGGCACTGGGAAAATCAAGCAAAGATCATGCAGAGTGTCAACTTAACAGACTGCTGTGACATTCACTGCATTCTCCAGGTACCACAAATTTGGCTTCTGTTCATCAGAGATCCGCATACAAAGGGAGGGGAGGGAATTAAAAATATAAGACTCTCACCACGAAGCAACCACCCTTCCATTTCTCTTTACTAAGTAGATTAGTTATAGAACCATAGGCTTTGTCCCCAATGCTTTAAAATTCCTATGGCATTAATTTTAAGAACATTTCAGACACTTGCCTAGCTACACTGTGAAGAGCTCACAAATAAATGGAGAGCAAAGTTTTGGGTGAGGTGTAATAATGTCAAACCAAAACTAAAGATTTACCGTGCTAACGAAAAGGGGAAAAATTCACTGTAGGGTCCCCGCAGAACAATGGAACACAGAACATCACGGGAAAATGGGCCTCCCTGAGAGCAGCAGTCTCTCCGGTAGCCTGTGACTAGTATCTACACCTTAACTCCGCATTAGACTCCTAACCAGAGAAGACAGCAGACTGTGTGGAAAGACGTGTCCATACACACTCAGAGTGGATCTGTGTCTGACTGCAGGAAAGGGATGTTGCACTAAATACGGAGAAGCTGTGACTAAGAATACATGTATAAAAAATCAGTATTTGTCGACAGATACTGGTGAAGTGAAACAAAAAAGGGTGCAAGGCTGCCTTCTGAGGAAATGAAAGACTTGTTTCATATAAATGTAAACATTACTTTGACAGGAAAAAACGTGTACAAAAACAAATCTCAAAGCTATACACTCACTTTGTCTGATTAGCCTTTTGTCGGCAACCAGAACATTTTCAGCATCCACAATGATCACCTTCCCATCTCGAGGCCCCACTGCGAAGTTGTCGAAGCTGACGTCCAGCAGGTAGAGCGCAAACTCAAAGTCATTGTTTGTAAGCTGCTCTGCAATTTCCATTAACTGCCAGGCAAGGTCAACTCGTTTCTCCCAAGGTGCGTTGAAGTAGCTCCACAGCTCTTCTCCAACGTAGTTTACAGCCACCATCCTTCCACAAGCTCCAAGATACTTTGCAAATGGCCAACCTTCATCAGACGGAAAACTCTACAAAAGAATTATCTTACTATTATAAGAGATTCTGATGAAGACATCCTAGGTCTATCCCCAGGTCCTCTAATAGAGATTGCTATTAGCCATGAGCTTGGATCTTCTTGCTGTAGGTAACAGGGCGAGACTTAATTTCTTTTCTAACTCATATCTTTACTATGGACCTGAACATTTTTTAAAAATAGATTAACTTTATATTATAAAGCTAAAATTAAAAGTATTGCTTATTAAAATCTCAGAACCAAATTGACCAATCAACAAAAGACACCTTTTTTATTACCAGAAGTATTGATGCTTTATTTTTTTTTAAATGTATTTTGATTGATTTATTTTTTTTTAGAGAGGAAGGGAGAGGGAGAGAGAGAGAAACATCAATGTAAGAGATAAACATCAATTGGCGGCCTCCTGCACACTCCCTACTGGGGATCGAGCCTGCAACCCAGACATGTGCCCTGACCAGGAATGGAACTGGTGACACC